CTAAAAAGCTAGGAGAAATATGCTGATTGACGTATAGTTTCAAACCTTAGTAACCCTGAAAGCGAGGCCGTTTCATTACTTATTCATGCGGAGAGCACCCAGACAGAGACTGAAGCACTAGACGAAAACAGAAGCCCGTGAGTCACTCGTTAATGCTTAAATCTGAAAACCGTGACTCTGATTATAACACGTTCAAAAGCCCACGGGCGGCCAGGGCACATCACATGAGCTTTCTCTCGCTTTGAACTGATTCTGTATCTTCGGTTTATTCTTGCCTTTCTGTTCTGCCAAGTATCAAAGGCTGTGTTTCAACAAGTCTTGAAAGCTTGGAGAGGTACTTCCCATCGCTGTTCTTATCACATGCTCTTCTTCACATGTAGACTTTTTTGCTAACTCACCTACTGTACCACTTTAATAGGCAGAATAATGGCTCCCAAAGCTGTTCCCATCCTAATCCCCGGAACCTGTGAAGATGGGGGGTGGCAAAGGGGGGATTAAGGTTGCAGGTGGAATGAAGGTTGCTGATCAACTGACTTAAGACAAGGAAATGAATCTGGATTATCCAGGTGAGACCCATGTAACCACAAGGGTCCTTCTAAGGGAGAGAGCAAGGAGGGAGGGTCATTGTCAGGTGGGATGTGAGAAAGGCCCCATCTGCCAGGCTGGCGTTGCAGGTGGACGGGGCCGGCGAGCCAGGACTTACAGGGAAGCCGCTGGATAAGGGAAGGAAACAGTCCTCCCTACAGGTTCCCTCTAATGCTTTTATTTCCGCCCAGTGAGGCCCACTGTAGATCTGACTTCCAGAACATAAGACAATCCATCTGTGTTGTTTTAAACCTTGGAGTTTCTGCCATTTGTTAGAGTAGCAATCGGGAACAAATGCAACAGCTATTTACAAAAGTTGGGGAGAAAAGAACCTTAATTTTTATTTTATTGCTTAAAAACGCCAGTTTGGCCCTGACTGGTTTGGCTCAATGGATAGAGCGTTGGCCTGCAGACTGAAGGGTCCCAGGTTCAATTCCAGTCAAGGACATGTACCTTGGTTGCAGGCACATCCCCAGTAGGGAGAGTGCAGGAGGCAGCTGATTGATGCTTCTCTCTCATCGATGTTTCTAACTCCCTATCCCTCTCCCTTCCTCTCTGTAAAAAATCAATAAAATATATATTTTTTCAAAAAACACGCCAGTTTGAACTGAGCAATTCCTAAAGTTAAAGGTGTTAACTCCTCCCCCCCCACCCCCTTTTTCAGGTGCTGCTCCTCAAGCAGGGACTTTGGCCACCACGAGGGTTGTCAGAACCCAGGAGGCTTAAAGGTAATTTTGTACATTCTCAAAAGTTGACTATTTTCTCAACATCGTTTCCAAACTGAATAATCATGTCGATGATACCAAGTAATTGAGATGGGTCTCTTCTTCAAATGAACAACTTCAAACTTAAATTACAGTATCATTTTATCTATACCAAAAAAAACCCAAACTTGAGGATATTTCTTGTCCAAAATAGCCCTGTGTCTGGTCCTATGACATAAACTAGTTCACATGTTGTCTGTCAGCTGTTGCTGCTCAAGGCACCCGTGACCCAACGGGTAGTGCTTTGAAGGAAGAACTGGTGTCCTCTTCACCTCATTCACCTGCCTTCCTCTTTGCCTGCTGCCCTGTCCATCTCCCCTGGACAGGCCAGGGAAGGAGAGAAGACATAAAAGAAGATTTGATCCCTATGTCTGTCTCCCTATTTTTTTTAATCTATTTTTTATTGATTTCAGAGAAGAAGAGAGAGGGAGAGAGGGGGAGAAACATCAATGATGAGAGAGAATCATGGATGACTGCCTCCTGCATGCCCCACACTGGGGATCGAGCTGCAACCCGGGCATATGCTCTGACCAGGAATCAACTGTGACCTCCTGGTTCAGAGGTCGACGCTCAACCACGGAGTCACGCCAGCCAGGCTCTGTCTCCCTATTAATGAAGGTTTTGTTACTTCCAATTTAGAGAGAGTTCGTCTGGCCAAAAACACAAGCCAGAACTAATTATCAGTAACAAGGGGCAATAATACTTAGAAAATAGGTCAACAGTAAGTTTTTCCTAAACTGAAGCTGTTTATGAAATTCTAAACATCACGTTTGTTGTAAATAGCAAACAGAATTACATAGATTATTCATACACTGTACGTAAGCACGTACATAATTTATTTGTAATGAAGACACTGTTGTTTCTAGCATGAATCACGTATTCCCTCTGGTGTTTTTCCTTCACATTTGCCTCTAAGGCTGTCAAAGGAGCACTGAAGAGCCGCGTGTGGCCTTCAGGGAGGGAGTTGGCCACTCCCGCTCTGTGGATTTCTATTCCTTGTTAGCACAGCTGAAACACCAATCAACACCCCCCCCACCCTTTTACCCTCACCCCACGCAGGACATCTGAATCTGCTGAAAATGGTTCTGTGGCTGTGACTTGAAGATCACACGCGGTGAAGTGTGCATGTTGCCACCTTTCCTGCACATTCTGCAGCCAGAACTAATCTGAGCGTAGAAAATTCATGTTCCAGACGAGCTTGTTTTGACATTTAATGCCTGCATTCTGCAGCGCGACATAAATATGCTGTACGTTCTCTGCAACTGACCCTGAGTGATACAACACAAAGCTTTGAGAGCAGTTACCAACAAGTATGCAGGTTGCTTCCACATTTAGATGGAATTGCACAGAGATCATAACGCGTGCTTTTGAGTACGTTTCTCAACCAAGGGGGGTCTGAGCAGCTGTTTCAAGCACCTTCTGCACAACATGTGTTATCCATGCACATAATTCACAATTTCAAGTGACCGAAGATACACACACACACACACACACACACACACACACACACACGCACACACACCATCCTTGCAGCACTAGCCAGCACTGGGAGGAGCTGGTCATCTAGCTTAGAGCAAAGGAAACATAATTGTGACATTTCAGCATGAGCTGGGTGAGTGAGTCAGTAAAGGAACAGCAGCAAGTTGATCATCCATGAGGCTGGAGATTCCGATTTTATTTGGCGAAGGACCTTAGGATAGGGTCCAAAGGGAAGGAAGTTACTAGGAATCTCTTTGGCACTGTGGAGTCGCAGCGTTGAAAGCGTGCCTCTCGAAAGCGAGTAAACATGCTGAGAGCGAGTGAGTCAGAAGCACATGAATTGTAAGAGGTGGAACCCAAGAGGCCACATCAGGCAGTGCTGCTTAAGCCATCACATGATCCGCCCCGAGGCCCACATTTAATTAAAAGGAGTAGGGCACAGGAGAAGAGGCTGCTGTTGGCAGATGGAGCCGGAGGAGTTGGGAGCTAAGCCTTGATTGCTGGGTCCGGAGAGCACGGTCAGCATGGAATGTGCCTACTGCTTCCTGGGGTGTCTGCTTCTGGCTGCAGGAGTGCCCCTTGGTGCCGCCAAACGTGAGCGATTCTCAAAGTTTCTGTGTTTAACCCGTTCTCTGGCTAGGGGCTGCGTGCTGGGCTGTCTGGAGTAATGTCATCTGAGCCAGAGCTAGACTCCATGCTCAGTCATTTCTTCTGGAAACCGCTGGGAATGTTGGAACCACAGCAAAATGCCGCCAGCTCCATTCTTTGCTTCAGGCTCATAGAAACTAATAACCGTGCAGCCTCTCTCTGATGGAGCTTGCTTTTATTGATTTATTTATTTATTTTCCCCATCACAGTTGGGACCTACTGTCTTGCCAGACAGGGGAGGGCGGGGGTGCGAGGGGAACAGTCTCTGGCCTGAGAACAGAGCAGCGCTTCTCCCTGAACTTTGGTTTCGATCCGGTAGGGTAGAGCGCTCAGGTCAATCGGCCCGAATCTGGAGACAAGCTCTCTAACAATCCCAACCCAGAAGCCCACCCCCAGAGATTTCTCCCCAGAGCTGCGTGAACTCGCAGCGGCTACGGTGAGGTCACTGTGAGAAGAGCTGGAGCCCAGGCCTCTATTCTGGTTTGCACTGCAGGTTGGCGACTTGTTAACAATACAGATGCCCAGATCCCAGAAACAAGAATCTTTGGAGGTGGGTCGGAGCACCCTTATTTAAAAAGCTCCGCCCTAGCCAGCTCGGTGGATAGAGCCTCGGCCCGTGGACCCACGGGTCCCAGGTTTGATTCTGGTCAAGGGCACGTACCTCGGTTGCAGGCTCCTGCCCCGGCCTGGGTCCTGGTCAGCGGCGTGCAGGAGGCAACCAATCAACTTTGATGTTTCTCTCCATCTTTCCCGCTCTCTTCCACTATCTCTAAAAATCAATGGAAAAATACCCTCGGGTGAGGATTTAAAAAACAACAACATAAAAAGCTCCTCTTGTGAGTGGAATGCAAAGCCAGAATTTGAGCCATTTAGGTCAGATGCAGCCCACTGGTCCAGTCCAGGGGTGGGTGGCAATGGCAGCCCCGTGCTCCGCAGTTAGAGTGGGGAAGGAGTAAAGTGTGCACCACCCAGAAGGGCCACCCCACCTGGCTCCAGAAGGCATTCACTAGATGAAAGGCAGGGATCCTGGTTCTGCCTGGGGGCTTCCCAGGGCCCAGGGGAGGGAGGCACTGATAAAGGACCGCAGGCTGCTTCCCTCCATCGCTCAGGTCATCCCCACAGCACCTTCGTGGAGCAGCCGGTCCTCGACCAGTCAACAGGACACCAGAGCCCGGCCTGCTGCTCCCCTGCTTGGCCTGAGGGAGCAGCATCTCAGATCCTTGGCCAGAGGGGCCTGCGCACACATCCTTCCCACCTCCTCCTGGTGGGAGAGAAGTGTCTGTAATTAAGTTGTCCTCACAGAGTGGGAACCCGAGAGAGGAAGGAGCAGGAAACTGCTGGCAGCCCTTGGGGACAGAGCGCGTGTCCCTGGGGCTGGGGGCCCCAGGCGGGGCGGGATGTGAAAAGAGGGCGCTAGGGGTGCAGGAGCCCCAAGGTGGGGGCAGGGAGTGACATTTGGGGGGAAATAGAGGGAAGTGGCCAGAGGCATGACCAGTTCTGTTCAGGTCCAGGGAGACCCTGCCCCGCCATCTCCTGGGACTGGGCCCCGTGTCTTTGACCAGGGACTGGGGTGGGTGCCAGGGCCCAAGAGCGCTGGCCTGTGTCGGCCTCACGTGGCTTGTACACAGCTGGGAAGGCTGGCGTCGTGATGATCCCGTTTCCCAGACCAGGAAATAGGCCACAGAGAGGCCAAGAAACTGGCCCCAGGCCACACAGCGGGTCAGGGGAAGAAGGCCGCTGCCACCCACTGTCCTTCCTGCGGTTGCACAGCCTTGGGCTCCCTGCCAGCCGTGGGCAGGCACAGTGACTTAGCTCCATGCAGCTTTCGTTTCCTCCTTTGCCAAACTGGGTAAAGGAGTTCTTGAGAGATCAGCCAATGACAGGTGCTTGGAGTGGGAGACCTACAAGGTGGCGATTGTCTTCCTCAAAGAACCTCCTGGGTGACTCCCCAGGAGTCTGGGAGGTGGAGGGACCGAGAACTGACTGGTCAGTGGAGGCCTGCGCCCAGCTCTAGCCTCCTTTCCACCGATGCCCCTTTGCTCTGCTCAGTGAAACAGATTAGCGGGTTGAATCTCTCCGCTGATTTGGGAGGAGCCCCGGCCCGTTAGGCAACGTAACAAAACCCTGATGTTCCTGGCTCCTCCTGGCCCTAAACCAGAGCTTCTTTTTTTTTTTTTCTTTTTTTTTTTAATTTTATTATTTATTACAAAGGATATTACATATGTGTCCATTTAGAGCTTCTGACCACAGGAAACGGGATGGGTAGGATTCACCGCGTTTCACACGCTAAGGGGATCCTTACCACTGTCCGATCACAGCCCTGGGAGGAGGGAGGAAGAGGAAGGTGCTGACAAGCTAGTTAAGGATCAGCCTCAGCCGCAGTTGGCGATGGGCGAGCAGGGAGGCCAAAGTGCCCACAGGAAAGCCAGGGCTGAGCTGGGAGTGACTCCATTGACCTTCACACGTATCCCCACCCCCAGCACACCGCTCTTTTCCCCTTCTAGTCTGCTTACTATTGGGTGTTTTTTCTTCTTCTACTTTTAATTCAACTTTTAACTCTGAGGTCACTGTAGATTCATATACAGTTGTAAGAAATACTACAAAGAGATTCCCCAGTGCCCTTTACCAGGTTTCTCCCCATGGTAACACCTTATAAAACTAGTGTATGATGTCACAATCAGGATATTGACATTGATACAGTCAAAATACAGACAGTTCCATCACCACAAGGGTCCCTCATCCCTTTAACAGCCAAACCCACCCAGCCCTAGCCCCTAGCAACCACCAATTTATTTTCTATATTGATAATGTTATGTAAATTGCATCGTTACAGAACGTCATCTTTGGGAATTGGATTTTTTTTTTTAACTCAATGTACTTTATTGACGATGTTGCATGTGTCAGTAGTTTGTTCTTTGTTATTACTGAGTGGTATTCCATGGCATGGATGGACCACACTTTAACCCTCCACCCAGTGGGGGATATCTGGGTTGCCTCAGCTTGGGCTGTTTGAATAAAGCTGCTAGGAACATTCATGTCCAGGTTAAGTTTCCTTTTCTCTGGGATAAATGCCCAAGAATTCAATTGCTTAGTTGCATGGTCATTACATGTTTAGTTTTACAAGAGACTGCAAACTGTTTTCCAGAGTGATTGTACCATTTTACATTCCCACCAGCCACGTACGAGTGATCCGGTTTCTTCCCATGGTCACCTATTGGAACACATTTGATGTGTCCCTATTTTTCATTTTAGTAACTCTGAACGGTGTTTAATGGTGTCTCATTTGGCTTGTAATGTTCATGTCCCTACTGGCTGGCGATACTGAACATCTTTTCATGTGTTTCTCTGCTGTCTGCACAACCTGTTTAGTGAAAGGTCTGTTCAGGTCTTTTAATTGGATTGTTTGAGTTTTAACATTAAGTATTGAAAATTCTTCATATATTCTAGATATCAGTTCTTTCTTGGAAATGCAGTTTGCTAATATTTTCTCCCAGTGCGTAATTTGCTGTTTCATCCTCTTCACATGGTATTTCACAGAGCAGAATTTTTTTTCATTTTAATGAGGTCTCATTTATCATTTTTTTCCTTCAATGGGTCGGATTTTTGGTGTCACGTCTAAGAATTCTTGTCTAGCCTGGAGCCTGAAGACCTCTCCTGGGCTTTCCACATTTGTGTAGCACCATTTGCTGGCTTTCCTCCATCAGATTGCTTTTGCATCTTTGTAAAAAATCAGGGCATTTTTGTGTGGATCTATTTCTGGGTTCTCTATTCTGTCCCATGGACCTACGTCTATTTCTTGTCACTCTCCTTTTAATTTTGTATTTTTCCTTGACTTCTGACATTTAACATCAGAAGAAAGATCTGCTTTGATTATGTTTCTGGAAACACTGCCTTTCTCTCAGGAGCTGAGGAAAAGGAAGAGTCTTGAGAACAGTGGGAAAAACTGGTTCTTGGAATCAAAAGGTGTGAATCTTCATTTCTCCTCAATTAAAGATGATCCTGAGTGGATCCTCTCGCTTCTCTGGGCCTGAATCTCTTCATCTATAAAACAAGAGGTTTTGAACTAAATAATGTTAGTTCTTTCCAGATTGAACATTCTACCATTCTGTGACTCAGTTCGAGTAAATTTCCAGTTACGAACATTTATTGATAAGCATGCATTTCCTGCCCTGGCTTAGTAGTATCATTTTTCCAAATAGGAACAATCTCATAGAATCACAGGACATTTGGTTCTCATCTGATTTGAAGGCCCAGAAAAGACATGGCCTGGGGTCACCCAGCCTGTTTAGTAGCTGAACCATGACTAGAGACCAGATTCTGTGACTCCCAGTTCAATGTTCTTTCCTATTCCATCTGCCTCCCTTATAAGAAGGGAACAACACACCACTCCCTCCTCCTTCCGGGAAGGAGGAATAGAAGACAGAGGTTAGTGGCATCCATTCCATACACTCCTCCGACTGCCTACCAAATACCACCCTCATGGAAAGCCTCTTCCAGGGTTTAAGAGAAGACAGCATTTCTGGCCGTAAGAATCCACAACCACACCAAGAAATAAGACCATATGAATTGATGCAAAAACAGTTTATAATGGTGTATAATCAGGAGCTGACAGAGTTTTGGGCTGTAATAGATTACTTAAATAGGCTGAGTAAGATGCTTAGTATCTCACTAAGTCCAAAGGTAGGCAAGATTAGCGCAAGAGCTCAGCAATATCATCCAGAACTGTTCTTCCTTCCATTCTGATGTGTTGGCTTGCTTCCTCAGATTTGTGACCTCATGGTTAGGGCTACCCCAGCTCCAGGCATCACATCATTGCCTTACCATCTCCAAAATCTATTCTGAGTAGAATTACCTAAACACACCAAGTAAAAGATAGAGTGAATTTTTTAAAAAACCAACAATATGCTATCCATAAGAAATCCACATATATATATTGAAGTGGATTTCTTATAGATACTGGTATATGATGGAAAAGGATGTGCCAGTTCAACACTGGGCATTAATATCAAGGTATTCTCAGAAGGAGTATTACCAGAGATAGAAGTCAATTCCTCATGATAAAAGGATTAATTTATGAAGAAGATTAAACATTCAGAGCTTCAAAATACATAAAGCAAAGCCTGACAGAACTGAAAGAAGAAATTGGCAAATCCATCATAATAGTTGAAGATTTCAACATTCCTCTCTCAGTAATTGAAAAAACAAGTAGACAGAAAAACAATAGGAACCTAGACGTCTCAAAAAAACACTGCCAACCAGCCTGACATAAATAACATTAAAATCAAACACTTTGCTCAACAACTATAGACTATACAAGTGCCTATGGAACATTTACCAAAACAGACCATATGCTGGGCCACAAAAAAAGTAGATTGTTCGCCGAAACCGGTTTGGCTCAGTGGATAGAGCGTCGGCCTGCGGACTGAAAGGTCCCAGGTTCGATTCCGGTCAAGGGCATGTACCTGGGTTGCGGGCACATCTCCAGTGGGAGATGTGCCGGAGGCGGCTGATCGATGTTTCTCTCTCATCGATGTTTCTAACTCTCTGTCTCTCTCCCTTCCTCTCTGTGCAAAATCAATAAAATATATTTTAAAAAAAAGTAGATTGCTCAATAGTGGGCTGTCCAGTATGCATCTCTTGGAATCCTGGAGGTATTCCTGGGCCTGGCATTCCTTTAGCCAAGTTAACAATTCAGGATGGGAAAAGATGCAAAAATTGATCTGAAAACTATTGGTATCTGTGTTTTCCTGATGACATTGTATAAATCAAAATATTCAGAGGAGATGTGTTGAACAAACAAATGATGGCTAAGAAATGCTGACTTTCAAATTTTTCTTTGATTCATCTAACGTACATGAAGTTATAGTGTCTGACTACTTGTATTAAAGGTATTTCCAGTGGAGATTTAAAAAAAACTTTACCTGTTTGACATATTAGAAATATTATGTATGTTCTTTCTAACCTTATGGAATAAAAAGTAACTTTAACTATTGTTAGGTAAGTATTAAACGAAGAATAGAGTTGACTAAATAATTGGTTTTTCAAATATTGATACAGGATTTCATGATGTGCTGAGCAATGAAAGAACTTCTGGTCACATGAGGGAGCACAACCAATTAAATGGTTGGTCTTCAGATGAAAATGAATGGAATGAAAAACTCTATCCGGTGTGGAAAAGAGGAGACCCGAGGTGGAAAAACTCCTGGAAAGGTAAGTGGAATGATTCAACCCAAACAACTGTCACTTCCTATTTAAGTCAGTCTCAGATCATGGACTTGGAAATCACGTGGCTTGTGTTTCTTCTGTGAATGGCAGTGCTCTAGGCATATGGATTTGGCAATCTCTCTTTTATCTCAACACATCACTTTCTAAGTCACATATACACACGCAGTTTGATCTCCTTAGAATTTACAAGTTTATGGTTTTTGGAAGACTTTAGAGAGTGAGCAGGTTTAGTCTCAAACCTATTTAACGAATGTGTGAATGGTCCTCTCCAGATCTGAGATTCCAGAGTAGTTTTTGACCATCTCAACACTGTGGCTTATCAGGAAGTGAGTATCTTTCTATTCACATGAATGAATGACTTCTTCATTCACTGGTTTTGAGTTAAAAAAAACATATGAACTTTTAATACTTGGCTTCTCAATCCAATTAAGCAGATTTTAAAACTTATTTTAAGTGAATGTTCTTTCTGTGTTTAGAGAATTTTTTAACTGGTCTGACTTTTATTATTTATTAATTCCTTTTATTATTTATCTTCTAGAATGTTGTATTCTGATAACAAAGTTAGGAATCCATAAGATAAATTAATTTATTGTAAAGAGGCATAAGGATCCTCTGGCTGGTCCTTAGAATTAGATGTAACTTGATGTCATTCATCAGTGAAAGGAAAGAGATGCTTGATCATAGAGCTCTGTTTTTCTTTGCCCTAGGAGGCCAGGTGCAGGCAGTTCTGACCAGTGATTCCCCAGCCCTGGTGGGCTCAAATGTAACATTTGTGGTGAGCCTGGTGTTCCCCAGATGCCAAAAGGAAGATGCCAATGGCAACATAGTCTATGAGAAGAACTGCAGAAATGGTAAGGAAAGTTATTCACTTCACAGGAACACGCTAGTTCTCCGAACTACTGGAGACCCAGCTCAGAAACCTTGATCCTCGCAGGAGCTGCTCCCGTGAATGCAAGATGCTGCTATCATACCATGTCACCCTCTCAGGTTGATGATGGGGAGGGTGAGAGTGTGATTCTACTCAGTCCCTTCACCATTAGCCAATGATGACTAATGATGACTTTCAGCAAACGGATGACCCTTTGCTACTTGGAACCCTCTTGTCAAGCTCAGTTTTTTCTTAGTGTCCAGGTGATTGGACAGAGAATACCTTGTTGATTCTCAAGTTTTGGTTTTATTACTTGGAATTCTTTTGGCTACTCAAGGAATAGCCAATTTGACAGATGTTTGTGCTTAGAGTAATTCTGCTCACAGGTATTTCTTAAGCAAGTGCCGTGTGGCTAGCACAAATGACAAAATATCTAATTTTGGGTTTGTTTTGCTCTTAGTTAAAGCAGATAAGTTCTTTGTTAAAGAGTGAAAATATACGCAAATACATTAAGGGAAATTATCTCGTTGGAACTGTACATTCTTAAAAACACCAAGCTAATTACCGAGATTCTTCAATCAGTGACAAGGCTATTAAATGCATCTAATGATCTAATTTTATTATTTAGAACTTCAATTAAATGGTCAACATGTTCTTTCCTTATTAATTTATCATATTCCTATGAGGAAAACACTAGATTCTGTACAGAACAGGTTAGATAGTTAAAAAGTGTTGTATTTAAAAATTCTGTAGCATTTTTCCTAAAAAAATATGCTGATTCGTATGAATGTTTCAAATGACAATCTAGCCCTCTGAGCATTTTTTTGTATGAAAGAGTTCTTTTGACTTATGAAAATTCTAATGAAATATTGATCACCACTACAAAGACCTGGGGATCATTGATTCCGGGTATAGGGCAGGGTTGTAGATGAGCTGGGTATTTCACCTGGGGGAGCGGGGGGTGCTCAGAGACTGATGGGGACTTGTCGCAAGGACACAGAAGCTGGCTTGAAGGGGCTCTCACTGGCCCTGTTTGAATCTATTGAAGAATAAAAATACTAATGGATGTAATGGATTGATAAATAAAAAGCTCCGTAAATATCAGTGACATAAAATACCAAGAGTTGTTCTAGATGAAAAACAATACTGATTGTGACTTATTTAAAATGAAAAATGTCATACATACAGAAAAATACTAGTAGAAAGTAGGGTACACTGAACAGCCAAACACCCTACCTAGCTTCAACAATTTAACATTCTGGATATTTGTTCTCTCTCTCCCTCTCCTTCTCCCTCTCCCTCTCCCTCTCCCTCTCCTTCCCCCTCCTTCCCACCGTCCCCTTCCACCTCCCTCCCTCCCTTCCTTCTTTCCTTTCTTCCTTTCTTTCTGAAACAAAATAGCCAAATGTAGTATGTGACCCTTGATTACTGCGGGAGGTGGTATGGCTTGTGCCTGTGTAAGAGAATGCCCTTATTCTAAGGAAATGTGTGCTGAAGGCTTTAGGAGTGGGCAGTCAAGATGTGCAATGAGTCAGGAAGAAAGGCTACAGACAGAGTGTATCCAAATAAGAAGACAAAACTACCCTTAGTTTGGTTTGATACAGTTGTGATTTGGAGACTCAGTGTGAAGATAAAGTATATGGAGTGAGATCTCTAGATCAAGCATGTCAAACTCAAAGGCTAACACGGGCCAAACAGATGAGGCATGTGGCCCCCAGGCCGTGAGTTTGACATGCTTGATCTAGATTGAACATTCCTGATTTTTGTTCTATATGCTTACTGAAATTGAACATATATAACATATACGGGAAAATGGACAGATCATAAATGCTCCATTGGATGAATTCTAAATATTAGGGCTGTCGTTGTTCAACTATATTTAAACTAGATTTGAAAAAATATGAAAAATGTCAAATTCAGTGATGAGCATTGAGCAGTCTGATCCAGACGACGATCACAGTTTTTTCTTTCTCTGCTTAGGAACGGGTCCATCTGCTGACCCGTATGTTTACAACTGGACAGCGTGGGCCGAGGACGATGACTGGGGGAATGACACCAACCAAAGCTACCACGTGTTCCCCGACGGCAGGCCTTTCCCGCACCACCACCACCACCACCGGCGGAGGCAGTGGGGTTTCGTCTACGTGTTTCACACACTTGGTTGGACTTTTACAAACCCCTTTAGCTTTTCCTTTATCTTTCCTTAAAATTTAAAAATTTGTCTCTTTTCTTATTCTATAATCAAGAATTAATAACATTGAGAGTTTAATCACAGTTAACCTGTTAACTTCCCTTAGCTGGGATGTATATGGCTTAGTCTTGCCAAATTTCCAGGACACCAAAGAATTAAAAGGAGGGGGGGAACCCCTGATTCAGCTTTCTTTGTTAAAACAAAACTCATTTTTTTTCTGTCTAAAACAGTAATCTAAAAAAAATACTAATAATTATTTATTTATTTTTAATATATTTTATCGATTTTTTACAGAGAGGAAGGGAGAGGGATAGAGAGCTAGAAACATCAATGAGAGAGAAACATCGATCAGCTGCCTCCTGCACACCTCCTACTGGGGATGTG